AAAAAAAAAAAAAAGAGCAGAGCTAAGCTGGGTGTGGTGGCCCACGCCTATAATCCCAGCACTTATGAGGCTAAGACAGGAGGATGATTGCTAGTTCAAGGCCAGCCTGGACTACAAAGTGAGCTCAAGGCCAGCCTGAACTGCACAGGGAGACTCTTGTCTCAAAAAAAGACAAAAAAAAAAAAAAAAAGTGCAGAGCTCGCTTTTGTGAAGATTGCTTTTTTTCCTGGTGATAATGACAAATACTACTCCTAAACACAAAACAGAACAGTCCTGGCCCAGGGAGCAACCGTCAGCAGAACCAGCCCAAAACAAGGCTTTCCAATCCCTTTTTCGTGCTCTTCTTGAGCCTTCCCCTTCCACTCCTTACCCCTCATATGGAACCTCTGAAATTTAGATTGGATGGGGTGCTGTGGGCAGAAGGCCATTAGACAGTGAGGAAATAGCAGGCCTGGTGACAGAACTTGTTTTTAGAGTCTAGGCTAGCAAAAGAAGGAAAGAAGAAAGTGGGGTCCCTCCCCAGTGTCCAAGCCTTTCCTGTGAGCTGGGAATGGCACAGCCCATGTGCTCCTTTGTTACTTGGTGACATGAGCCTCAGACCCCTGGGGAATGTGTTCTTGATCACCAGGCACCCACCTCTCCAGCTGGCCAGCGATGGTCACTTGGCTCACATGGTGCCACACAGGGCTTGGCTCTGGGCCTTTGGAGCCTAAAACTGCTTGGATTCCACTGTCCAGAAGGTGCGACAACCTATCTAACCATGCCTGAAGCCTCTGGAGACCCCCAGGCATGATGTGGGGAGCTGGCAGGTATTGGAGGAGGATGGGGTCAATATTGATCTTTCTTGCTCCCACTGGCCTGTCTGAGCCATCTTGGCTTGTCACCCACTGAGAAACAGAACTTCTGTCTCTTCCTCAGGAGGCTGCCTCAGATCCTTAGGAGACGAAGCTGGTTTTTCCTATACCCCGGAACCCAGGGTGTCCCAGGACCATGTCCTCTCTCAGCCAGGCTCCAGTCTAGGGCCTACTCCCAGAGCGTGCAGGGAATGGGTAGCACAGGAGGTGCAGTTGCCACAGCCCCTCAGCAGAGACCACTCAGTCAGAGCCAAGGTGCAAATGAACATCTGTATTTATTTGCCGCTCATGGACCTTCAGAGCCAGTCAGTCAGTGGTGCTTGGGCTCTGGGTGGCTAGTGGGCTCACTCCAGGCTGGTGCAATCTGGGCTCACATGCAGGAGAAGCTGGCTCGGGCATGAAGAATGATGGTACCAGCAGGCCTTGGCAGTTAGGACAGCTGGGCAACTGGAGGAGCTCAGAGCCTGGATACCAAGTCCCAGGGGTTGCCCCAGGTGGGGCACTCATCATCTGTTAATGCCACCTTCCAACCCAGCTTCTGGGAATCCAGGGCAGGCTCTACCCCAGCTGCTGGGTTATGGCCCATCGTGGGTGTCCAGGTGGGGCTCTGTTGCTGGGTGGGGATCCATCTCCTCCACACACTGCTCCTGGTAGTACTGCTGGCTTCAGCGGGCCCTTGCAGGCTGAGCTATAAGCCAGTCCTTGGCTGTGGCCTTTGGGAGGCCCTGTGGAGGCTGGTAAGGCTGGTCCTGATTTCCAGGCTTCTTTGTGAGCTGGTACAGTCCCTCTCAGGGTTCTGAGAGTTGCCCCTTCAGATGAGGAGCTTGTAGCCCCTCTCCTCTCCTTACTGGCTCTGGGGCTCTCCCTGGTTCATACCCAGCCTGAGTACCATCTCCAGACACTGATAGGCATACTGGGCCACTCCCAAAATCCCAGTGTCCCTGGCTGCAAAATGGGTCACAACAGCAAGTGTTCTAGAGGGTTTCCATGTGTTACAGTGACCAGCACTGAGCCCAGGGGAGCTGGAAATGGGAGAAAAAGATTGGAGATGGAGATGGAGACAGAGATGAGAAGAATGAGAGCCAGGAGCGTCCTATGCCACATCTGCTCTGAGCCCTCAGCCTCCCTGCTGCTTGCCCCTAGTGTCCCAGTTCACCTTGGTCACCCTTCTGTGCCTGGGGCCACCACTGGTGACCACAGGTAGGCAGGCAGCCGCTTGCCAGGCTACAGGGTGGGCACAAAGCGGATCCTCTGCGAGTAGGCCAGGTCGACGATGTAGAGGAGCAGGTTGACGTACGTGAAAATGGCTATTACCAGCTGGCTGTCCCAGGAGCAGCTGCCCCGTGGGCACTTGGGGGGTCGTCTGGGCTCCCCATATTTGGGGTCAAAGCAGAAGACAGGCCAGATCACGGCAGCACTGAGATAGAGGAGCACAGCCAGAAAGGTATACACCACCACCAGGCGGTCAAAGGGGCAGCCCAGGCCCCCCGTATGGCCCATCACGCTCAGGGCCACTACAGCCACTGTAGCCAAGAAGCACAAACTGTAGACAGCCACGCACCATTGCATGGCCACATAGCGCCCATAGCCACTGTCATGGACAAGTGCCCCAAAGATGATGCAGGCCACAAAGGCCTGGACAATCTTGAGAAGCCCTGACACTGTGGCCATGTAGCTAGCTACCTGGCCAGGCCGTGCCCGTGTCAGACCCACTTCTGAGGCGTAGGCCAGGAAGAGGAGCCCAGCGAAGACACTGGCTGCCAGGCGGAAGTCCCTGGCTGTGCAGCCGGCAGGCTCGGGCAGACACTGGAGCTGGGTAAAGTAGAGTGGGTAGATGACGGCGGCTGTGGCACACAGCAGTGTGGCCAGCATGGCAAAGGCCGCAGTGAAGTTGCCCCAGGAAAGGCGCAGGCAGCCATGGAGCTTCGTGAACTCACAGGCCACCACCAGGACAGAGAGGGCAAAGCAGAAGCCCCAGGCAGCCATGCAGAAGGTACCTTGGACGCCGGCAAAGCCGCCCCGATGGGCAACCAGGCTGAAGGTGGTACAACCGAAGACCAGCTGCAGCATGCGGGCTGTACCCACTGGGGAAGTCACGGCACCCATGTGCAGGTATGCACCCCCAGGGGGCTCCATGGTGCTGCCCATCTGGCTGGCCACCTCCTGCCCTCACACGGTGCCCAGCAGTCCTGGGTCTCTGCCCGGCTGAAAGCCCTCTGTCTTCTGCGGTGGTGGGAGGTGCCGGCAGCCTGCAGCAGTGGAGCTGATGGTGACATTGCAGCAAGGCAGTCTCTCTGCTGCCTGTGTAGGGAGCCCCCTCCCCCAGCACTATAAATAGATAGCCGCGATCAGAGCCCGGGAATAGCAGCCCACGTGCCTGTCCTCATACTGGAGGGACATCTGACCCCGGTGTCCCAAGAAGAACCTTTGCCAGGACCCATGGCTGCTGGTGCCGCCCACCTCCCAGCCTCCTGAACACCTGCGTCTTTCATTCTGGTCAGTGTCGGGGAGAGGTGGGGATTGAGCAGATAGCTCAGGGTCCCCACTGGGTTACCTCAGGACCAGCAGCCTGCAGGGCCAGCCACTTGGGGAATAGTGCAGGGAAATGGAGGCCGGGGGTGGGGTGTTCCATCTCCTTCATCCCACAGTGGCTTGGTTCACAGCTGTGCTCAGTTTCAGGGCACTATTGTCATTGTCCTTGAGGTTAACACACCCCAGAGCTGTGGGGGAGGGGTGGAGCATGGAGATCCTGGACCTCACCCACCTTTGTGGGGGAGGTTTGAATTTTAGTTATTATTTAGGAGTATCCTTATGAAGTGCTTGTACTTTTTAGACATGTGAACACCTAAAAAAAACTCAATTCTTCCCCTTGAGGCAGGGTCTCACTCTGTAGTCCAAGCTGGTGTGAAATTCACTGTTAGCCAGGTTGGTTTTTTTTTTTTTTTTTTTTTTTTTTT